GGGTGGTTTTGTTAGTTTTTCTGATGCTTCACTTCGGAGTTCCTCTGTAGAACAAGGTAAAATCAAGAGTAGTCTCTTTCATGGTGAGACTTAATACAATTGTGTATGAATACCTCATTGTGGTGATAACACTCTATTGAGTGAAGGCTCTTGTAGTTACACTAATCTGTTCTCTCTGATGGTGTATTATGACACCAACTACAACTGCTCAGCCAGGATAAAGAATGGTCACTGTTCTGGGGAGGAAAGAGTTTTCACTGACTTAACCTGGGTTAAGTATTCCTTGTGTTCAGGTGCCCATCTCTGTGCTAGGACCAGGCTTTGGAGAGGGCTTTTCTCAGTGTGCAGAGCCCTTATGTCCAGCATGCTGTTTCTGTCTCACTGCTCTCATCTTCCTGAAGTTTCTGTCAGGTGTGCCTCACTTCTGGGGCACTGCTCCTCTCTGTCACAGAATGGTGTGTGTCAGCACCTCTCCTTGCAGCGATGCTGCCTGAGGGCTCTCCTGCACTCTCTAGGAGTGTGTCCTGTAACTGGTTGGCTTCTGCTGTGTGATGGGCAGGTGCTCTGCCTGGGTATCAAGCAAGTTAGAGAGTCTCCAGAATGTCCCTTCCATCCCCGTCCTGTTTTCCTAGCACATTGCTAGCCATTTCTGTTGCCTTTGAAATACCTGCACCTGGACAGACTCTTTTCAGGCCTTAGGTGAGATGTGCTAATCATGCCTTCAGTGTTTGTGCCTCACGGGGCTCTCCAGAATGAGGGTGCTGCCTGTATCATGTGTAGCTGCTCCCAAATGACACACTACTTCTGATCTCATCAGCTGTATTTGAGATGTGTGAAGTCATGGTGATGCTGTCGGGTGAAGACTCTGCCTCCTCAGGTGCAGCATCTGCGGGAACGGACGCTGTTTTCACAGCCCTGTTTGTCAGTGAAGTGTCCCCCTGGGCCCCCCCGTCACCCGGGGGTGTCACAGCTCCTGTTCACTGGACTCTCCTACGCAAAGACCTCGATTAATGTTGGTAATCAGTACGTAATGCTCAGGATACCCGAGGTGTCTGTGGCCAGAGGCTGGAGACAGAGGAGCCCAGGTTCTCGTGCGTGTTCTTTGCTTGGTGCATGCAGAGGAATTGAGAGCTGTGAAAGCCGAGGAAGGGATCTCACGTACGTGTGGCGTGTGAATGTAGAGGGGTTGGCCACACCACAGAGGGAATGTCTGAGCAGCTGAGGGTGCAGAGCCCCTCACATGTGTGAACACAGGAGTCTGTCTGAGTGAGGATTTGGAGATCCTGCCTTATCCCCTGTGTGTTACTGTGACTCCTCCCCGATCTCAGCCACACTGTGCCGTGGTCTGAACAGGCAGCACAGATGACTGAGGCAAGATGCTGTGTGGCTGAAACAGCTTTGTACTGTAGGCAGCTGAAGGGCTGTGAAGGTGCTCACCCTCATTGTTTACCTGGCTGCTGACCTGGACTTTGGCTTGCTGCACCTCTGTTGAGTGCAGTCCTGAGCTCTGTGGAACAGGCCAGGGTGAACTGGACCTCAGTCCTTCTTCCCAGACTCCCTGTCACTCCCACTGTTGTGCATATTTCAGCTGCCAGCTCCTCCCTGGAAGCAGTGCTTTGGGGCACAGCTCAAGGCAGGACACTGAGATGAAGAATCTGTGCATCTGGCTGCTTGCCCAAACGGTGGGCAGGAGTGGACCACTGGAGGTCCTCCAGCCCAGCTCAGCAGTACTGGTATCACTGGAACCTGTCCTTACAGAGCTGGGCTGTGTGGCTCAGCACTGCAGTGGTGGTTGTGCTGAGCATTGAGACTCCTGGGACAGGGAGTGTGTGAGACAGGCTCTGCTGCAGGCAGAAAGGCTGTAAATGAGCCCATGGAGGAGACTTTTATTTCTTGGGTTTACAGGGAAAAGAGGAGATAAAGCCAGGAAAACATTGTGGAGTGGGATGGTTACCTGGGCTTTTCTGCTGGCAGAGATGTGACAGACTTCTCAGAGAAATATGTTCCTATTGTGAAGGGGAGGAGAGCTGTGGTCTGTCCTGCCTGGAGGAGGAGAAGGCCTCCTGGCCTTGGCCTTACCCAGCTCACACTCTGTAGCAGGAGTCTGTGGGATGCAATACTGAGTGTCTGTAGCCATCTGTCCCATCCCATGGAACATTCCTCGAGTCAGCTGCCCAGTGGAGCCAGGCCTGTCATTCATAGCAGAGAGTGCTCATGCCTACGACTATGCAGAGGAAGCTCTGTCTGGAAGGGAGGAAGCTGCAGAGGGTCCCCTCTGCCTTCTCCTTCCAGCCGCCGAGCAGGTATAATGCACTTTTCACATTAAGTGTCCCTGTCCCCACCCCCACACTTGAAGTCACTTTGCCCCATAGAGAACTAACAATCCTTGTTACTCAGAAAATATTGTAAGAGAAACTACAGCAGCTGGAGTAGCCCAAATGGTAGTTCCTGCCGGCAGCAGCACATGTGCCTTTCCCCAGCATCACTCACAACTGCTCCTTGTCTTTCAGGCTGTCTTAGGGCCTGACACTTTGCAGAAGCTGCTACGATGGCCACAAATGCACATTCTGTACAGTTTGGCCCAGGGTGTTCCATGTATGGCTTAAAAGGTTGATGGTCCAGGCCCTTGCACGGCCTTCACACCTGTCTGTGGAGGACAGGATTGCCCCTAAGGTCCTTCCAGGCTGCTGCTGCTGCCAACGTGCCCCTGCACACTCGAGTTGTTTTCGGCTTTCATGGCACCTTAGCGCCGGGGAGGGTCTGCCCAGAGACAGACAGACAGACACAGGGGGGCTGGTTGGGCTGCCCTGAGGCAGGGAGGTGTTTGTAGATAAGTGCTGACCCCTCACTATAACCCCAGTATATGGCTGTATTAACATGTAACCAACGCAGTGTATCTAAAGCCTTAGAACTAGTCAGGTGCTCCCCTCCGACCTTGTCCCTGCCCCTTTCCTCTTACCTGATCTTTAACAAAGCATTAATAATTCTAAGGATAATCTCTATTTTGTTGTGCTTTTTTTGTAACTGTTTTAAATAAATCAATTTGTACTGTATATTTGTACTTTTGGTGAGATCCTTTTTCCTGTTTTACCATTTTAAGTCTGTACTTGGCTACACACAGATTGTATTTTTATTGTTAATGCTCTTATGAATATTGCATTTAACTTGTTGACTCTGTAAACACAGTATATATCTATATATATATATATATCTATATATAAACCAATAGCTTTTCCTTTGGTGTTTGAGACTTTTTGCTTGTCTGTAGCATCAGTGATCATCAAGATGTGGCTTCTCTGGTCTTACACAGTGATCTGGAGACTCATTACAAGGGCAAGATACAGGTTGTTTGACAGATGGATTATAAGCCATAATTTTTTCAGATACTTTTGTTTTAGGTGGTCTCTCTTGAACCCCTTGGCATAAAGATGCCAGTGATGCTGCAGGGAAAGTTCCAGCTGCAGGTTGCAGAGTGAAGGTACATCTCTGCTGGGCAAGCAAAATACATGAGGTAGAGCAAAAGCAAATATTGCCAAAAGCAAACTGGGTTTGAGTATGAAAATGGACAGAGGTAAGGGTAAAAGTGAGAGATCAGAGAACAAAGCAGGAGATGAACAAAGGAACATGGATCTGAACAGCTCCTTTCCAGATCTGGTGCCTTTTCCCAAAGTGAGAGAGACAGGGATGGCTCCTGGGTGTCAGTTCTATGTGATGAATTTCATGTTAAAACAGCTTCTGTGGGAGGAAACAAGATGTTGCAGTGGCATGTGGAGGAAACTAGCACCGAAAAGGTTCAGTGCTCTTTCCTAGCAGTGTCCCCAGGGCTGGCACTAAGGGTAGTTCATTATCGCCAGAAAAATGCAACATAAATGCACTTTGAAGGCAACTTTTGTAAGTTTAACTAGGGCTTTAAGGGACTGCAATCAAAAGGTTTTCAAACTGAAAAATGAGGGGAGAATAGGGTTCTAAGTAGTCTGGTCAAAAGGTTTTGCTTCTTGTTTTAACTTTTCTCTTCTGATCTCAAATAGGAGTCTTGTGGTCTCCATTTCTCTGCAAAAGCAGAGAAACAGCCATCAGAGCGAAGACAGTAGCTCCCAGGGTGTTTGAACCAGTGTGTGTGACACGAGACCTTCACTGGAAATGCTATGGAGGTAGTAGGGGTCTTTAGGGTACAAAACACCGAGGTGTGGCACACTGGCTGATGTTTGGAAACCACAAAGCTACACTATGCATTTTCAGACGCACATTTTAAAGAAACCCAATAACAGAGAGTGTACCACCTCTTTGCCCCTCATGAGTCCTTCTGTGCCACTGCTTTTTGCCTTTTCCACATTCAAGATGCCTAGATTTAATTTCCATAGTTTAATAGTGGGAACCTTTTCCTATAGGCATAGGCTATGATCACATTTTGCCTCCAGTATATCTGTGCTGCTTTTGCACTGGGAACCTCAGCACTGGACACAGGACTCCAGGTGTGGTCTCACCAGCGCTGAGTAAAGAAAGCAAACCCATCCAGTCCTAGAAACTGACCTGCTCTATTATTTATCATTCAACCACTTGCAAACCTGAAATGTTGTTTAGGTGAAAATTAACTTGTGAGTAAAGCAGCAAACTTGTCTGCTGTTTGCTTTCCTCAGCCAGCCTTTCTTTTACTGTTTTTATGGAGTATCTTACAATAGGAGCTTAGTTTCCTCTTAATTTTTCCACAGCTGCTACTGCAAATAAGCACATAATAATAGTGTTAAGAAAAACGGTGTACACAGCCATTTCCAGCAAGACATCCTCCTTTGCTTCCTTTTTATGGGCACAAACTGCAAAGGATTTATTCCTGGAGGACTTGTGGACTGTCAAAGTCTTCAGCTCCATAATTCATGCTGCAGTAAACAAGATCCCTTTTTAGTGAGGTGGGTTTCACATACAGCAGAACTGCCACAGCCCAGACCCATCTATAGGGCCAGGATCCAAGAACAGGACAAAGCACAAAAGGTAAAGAAGGGGACTAATAAATGTGAACATTAATTTATTTTCCTTCTGTCACAGGCTGTGACTTGGCCCCCAGAGCAGACTGTATTCTCAGAATCTGCTCCCACCAGAGCTGCTTTGGCAGACATCTCTCAGCTCTGTTCTCCTCCTGGGTTCAGAGAACCAGAACCACCCGTCAGGGAAGTTCAGAGAGAGACCCCCAGCAGCCTCCTGAGTGCAGAAGCCTGCTAGTGCACCTGGGGCAGGCACAGCAGAGGCAGCACCATTTGTGGCTGTGGTTTACTGCAGCGTACTGTTGCTCTGCTCCTCAAAGGTCATTTTGCCCAGCAGCTGGCTCTCCAGCTCCACATTGCTCACTGGTAGCTGGAAAAAGTTCATCTCAGCTGCCAAAGCAGCCATGGCAGAGGGGTCCTGGCCAAACTGTGCCCGGAGCATCATGTCCATTTTCTCCAGGCGCCGCTTGAGCCTCTTGGCCTCGCGCTCCCGGATGAGCCGGGCCTGTCTCTTCTCAGGGGTCTCGTTGGCGCGTTTCAGGCGCATGGCCTCCCGGTCCCGCTGCAGCCGCCGCGCCCGCTGCTCGTCTGTCTCCTGCATGCGCTGCAGCCGCTTGGCTTCCCGGTCCCGCATGCGCCTCACTTCCCGCTCCTCGGGCGTCTCGTTGTCCCGCCGGCTCTTCTTGGCCGTGCGCTCCCGCTCCAGGCGCTGCAGCCGCACCTCCAGGGGCTCGTTCTGCCGCCGCAGGGCCCACTTGCGCATGCTGGGGCTCTGCGCCTCCAGCAGCTTGCGGTACGCGGCACAGTTGTTGCACACCAGGAGGATGCCCGCGGGGTACACGGGGGTGCGAAAGGCAACGCCCTTCCCCTCGGCACCGGAGGGGCCCTGGCTCTGTGGCGCCGGCAGCCGATCTGCACTGAGCACATCCGGCAGCTTCTCACTGCAAAGCATAAGGAGCAGAGTCAGAGACTTGGTGCTGTCAGCAGAGTCCCCATCTCAGAGTTCCCAGGGGCTGCCACAAACAGTGCCCCCACTACAGCCCATGGCAGAGGCCTCTGCTAAACCATTTGCCCACAGATGCATCTGAATATCTGAAGTAAAGCACCATCCTATCCAGGGTAGGAAGTGGGTTAGCCCAGAGAGGTATCTGGGTTGGAAGAGCGCAAGAGCAGGAATTAACCAGTGAGCTGCTCCTCCCCATCATCTCTGGATTTCTCCTTTCAGCCCCATTCCATTGGTCAGTGGATAATCTCCCACCAGGCAGGGCACAAAGAAAGAACATTTTGGTCTCTGCCTGTAGTCCTGCTTTGAAAACGATGAACCCACCTTGGCAGTGCAGCCTTATGCTGATGGATTGCTGGGTGAGGGAAGCAGCATGTTGTTCTCCAGTTACTGGAGACCCCAGTGCTTTCTGCACCCCTCTAGCTCTGCACAGAGCTAAGGAACACCCTCTTAGCACCACAGCCCCTGGAGGTCTTTGCAGGGGATGCAGAGCTGCAGACAGGAAAGGATCTAGGGAATCTCACTCACTGGGGATGTTTAGCACTGTCCTACAGGCCTCGGTGTGTCCAGAGCCACAACTTCTGAGTCATTTAAGGCGATCCACCTAATCTTTAATGTGGTGCTCTAGCCCACTCACCAGCCAGGGAGACCCTGACCTGTTGAAGGTGGCATGGCTGGTGAACCGTGCTCCACACACTGCACAGTTGGACAGCTGGTCCTCTGAGTGGATCAGGAGGTGCCTCCCAAGGGACCCTGGTGAGCTGAGGGCTCTGCCACATACAGGACACAGGTAGCTCTTGGCACTCACCACTGCTGCAGTGTGCTGCAAAACAACCACTCGGATGTTAGATACACGCTGAGGCTCCCTGCCCAGTCCAAGGCACACTCAAACCATTCTGTTCAGCCTCTTGGAATGGGAACCCTTTACCACTAAACCTCTGTCTGACAGCGACTAGACCAAGCTCAAGACATTTGGTGTGTCACAGGTCAAACAAGGAAGAAATCCTTCTACAGCTCCACTCCAGTGCAGGAGAAACAATTAAGGCCAACATACTTGGATCATAAGACCTGACCCTCGTTTTCAGAAATGCATTTGAGGAGCAGCTGGTGCTGGACAAAGCATGACTGGATTAACAGCAGGCAGGATGCTGGTGAGGAAGCACTTAGATGGAGGCAGCTGGTGCAGGTAAGTGGCCAATTCAGTTCTGCTTCATTCCTTCTGTTACAGACTTTGATATACTATGAAGAGAGCACTGACAACAAAACCTGAGATTCCACCACAGATTTCCTGCAAAACTGGAACCATGTAGAGGAAGAACAGCTATTCTCATGGGTAATTACAAGAACTGTAATGAAGTAAAAAATAAATGAGTTATTAGGAGGAAGGTTTCTTATCTCACTGAATGATGTAAAAATTGCTTCCGCTTAATCTGCAGGAGCTGCCTGGTTTTAGCCTGCAATACTTGCAGAGACTGCCATGGGATAGAGTTGTGTTTTTCAGATCTGCAGACTGGTGCCTTGCTAATTCTTTCCCCAGGACACCCTCTGGACACAGTTTACTGCTGTAAAGTTCAGTCACATCCTAGCTAGAAGCTCAGTTCTGTGATTGGAAAGACCAGAACAAAGTTACTCTGTGCTTTGGGCTGCTTCTGGACTTAGGCCTTCAGGCCAGAGAGATCCCTACCTGGTACACATGAGCAATGAGCTGCTCTCTGCTTCCACACTCCAGCTGGCAGAGGGGGCACTGTGACAGTCCCAGCACGGGGTCAGTGTTCAAACTCTCAGGCACCTACAGAGAGGAACAGCCACTTTGGTGAAAGGCACGCAGACCCCCCGCAGCCTCCCACCCTCCCTGAGCTCCTCCCAGCGCTGCTGCAGATCCAGTGCTGTGTGCCCAGTCCCACTGGGGCTGCTTTGGGTTCCTGACATCTGAAACCTCCTTCACGTAGCCTCTGAGCAAAACTCCTGCATCTCAGGGAGAAGAGGCAGAGGCCTCATAGCCTCCACTTGCACCCAGGCTCTTGCCAGCACAGTGGCTCTGGAAGGCAGGGCCTGCTCTGTGGCAGGGGGGAAGAGAAAGTCAATTAGAGAAAGGCACCAAAACTGAAGGAAGGGGACACACTCCACAAACATTTTGGCCAGTTTGTGCCTGCTGTCTCATATTTGTGGCAGTCCAAGAGCTCTTCATACCCTTTCCTCCTGACAGGAGACGTTGTTTGGAGGAGGTGGGAGGGAAAGAAAGATAAAGAACCATGATGGGGAGAGGAGGTTTTTAGACAGTACCCTTCTCCCTCCCTGGAGGCTACAGTGAGTGCAGAGCCAATACACACTTGCCTCGTTTTCTCTCATCAGTGGGGTTCCGGCCATAGGTCGTTCTGCATTCTCCAATTCCTTCTTCACTTTCACCATGGAGCCATCCTCCTCGGATGTATGGGAAGAAACTTCATCCTGGGTGGTTTCCTCATCATCACTGCCACCTGAAACATGCAGAACAGTTATGCCAAGTGTAAGGACCCTGAGGGCACTCATAGGCCTCAGGGTCTTAACTTATAGGTCTTAACTGTCTTGACCAGCATCATAAGGTGACTCTACCCACCCCCTCCCACCATGGGCTCCATTTAAACTCAGTCTGGGGCACTTCAGTCCCTGAGCTGCTCTGCAGAGTCCCTGGGCATGGCCTCTTACCCTGCCTTCCTCGATAATTGCCAAACTGTCAGCTGGACCTGCTGCCATTCCCTCCCTGCTCTGGTGAGATGGGACTGTGTCCCAGTGGTGAGGGCATTGCCCAGTCTGTGCTGTGCTGGTCCTTGGCTCTGGGCTTGCCTTCTCTCAGGACAAAGTCCTGCACAGGAGCCAAGGGCTGACACGGAAGAGGAGCTGGGTAAGATGGTTCTCAGAGGACCCCCCACACCCTGTAGCCTCATGCCTTGTCAGTCTCCCCAGTTCACTACCTTGCCGTTATTGGAAGGGGCAGAACTCACTGCTGCTGGAGTCAGGGTCTTGCAGCGGACGGATGGCTGGCCTTTGGTCCCCAAGAGCTCCAGGAAAGTTGTTTTTCATCATGGCTTGGCGGGCTTGCTCCTCCAGCCCTGCAAAGACTTGCTCCCCTGGCAGCCACAAGGACAAAGAGTCAGATCAATGCTGTTCCATCGTGTTCACCACCACAGCTTGCCAAAAACGCAACAGGCATAGGGCTGCTCACCTGCACTGTGCAGAACCTCTGGAGTCACCTCTTGGAAAGCACTTAGATCACTTCTCTGTTTGCCTACCCCGCCACACCAGCCTCTGGCACCTGCTGGTGCAAGTCCAGTGCCTGGGTGTAGAACAGTCTCACTAGGGCAATGTCCAGCATTGGCCTGCCCCCTGCATACGCTGTATATGCCACTCCAGCCACAAAAACCTGGGAGACCCATATACCTGCCTTAGATTGCCAGGTGGCTTTTGCTGCCAAGTTATCCACCAATATCCTACAGCACAGCTCTAGGCTGGGCAAAGCCCCTGGGGACTATGACAGTATCCCAGACCAGGGATAATACTGTACAGCTCTTCTAAATCATTAAGTCCTATTCCCTGCTATAACAGGCATCTTGCACAAAAATAGAGCCTCCCTAAGGGCCTGGTACGTCACCTGCCTCCACAGTAATACCAAAACTAGGGGCTGTTCTTGGCATGCTCTGTCACCTCCTTCTGTTCCAGGAGGGATAAGGACAAGCTGTCCTTGTAGAAGGTGTTTGTGCTTGGAGCTGGTGTTCTCCTGTGCATACGATGGATGACTTGCTCCACTACCTTGCCTTGCCCAGGAATGGCTCTTGCTAAAGTAAATCTCAGTGGCACTTCATGTGCTCAAAACAGCAACCCAAGGGAAGGAACCCTGAGAGCTGAGATGCACGTTTAGGACAAAACAGCCTGTTCTGTTGAAAGCACTGACCACTAGTATCTCAGCTCAACAGGAAATGGCAAACACCTTGGAAGAAAGCAGTTATTTGTGCTTCTCTGAAAGAAAACTTACAGTAATCCCCACTCAAGATAACTTTTGGTTCCAGAGAATAACAATAAAAGGTAACCATTAATTTTCATATTCAAGCAAACAAATTACTTTGTTCCAGGTGTAGTTGTGATTTACCTTTTTCAGTGGATGAGCTGGGAGGCCTGGCAAAGATGCTGAAGTTCCCAGCAGGCTGTCTTTTGGGTTGCATTTATCAACTGATTTTTAAGTGCTTAAGGACCACTCAAAGCACAAATGCAAAAATGCCAAGGAAGATGCAGTGCATTTTTCAAATAAAATCAAAACACAGCTTTCAGAAGAAAATGCTACTTTTTAGTACTGGGCCACAGCTGGCATCAGTATGACCAGGGAATTGAATTCTCGAGAGAGCACCAGTCCTGTTACAAGGACAGGCACATTCTCACATGCTGAACTGTTCCACTCAGTGTTGCTCTGTGTTCCCACTCCCTGCCTTTCCTGAGGCTTACCTCACCATTTTGGCAGGGCTTTAAAAAGCCACAATTTAGAGAAGATTTCAAAGACCTTCAGAAGTTTCACAGAGACTGTGGGAGAAGAGTTTTAGTTCCCAATGTCCCCATGGAGGTTTCCAAAAGCATTTGAAGGCTTTTATCATTCTGTTTAGAAATGTGAGAAAGGTTTCTGTAGAGAAAACTTGAGAACACAATCCATGCATGTGAGGAGAGGTGCTGAGAAGCACCCCAAGTCTATTTGTCACTGAAAACAACAGGTACCGTCATGACTGCTGTGATACACATAGCCCCTTCAGAAGCCATTCCAGCACCGAATGGTTTTTATGACCTGGAGTTGTGCTTTTATGTCTGGATCACAGCTTCATGTTGTGAGATACAGACTGTATGAGCAGCAGACACACAGAATCCCAGAGCCTCTCCAAGAAGCAGATACCCACAAACCACCAGGATAAAAGCCCAGAGACCAAAAAACCATTGCAAGAGAAAGAGAAAGCATGGTGAAATGAGGAAACCTGCAGAACGCAGGACAGATATAAAACTATGGTGGGAGATGTGCTACCTGTGACAGAGCTCCAAAACGGGATTCCCAAACGCCACTGCAGCTGCTCGTAGAAGCAGTTGTGTTTGTTTTCTTCCCTTCCAGACAGATTACATTCCCACTGAGCAGCAGCCTGGAGTCCAAAGGCAGGGAGGTTCCTGCTCAGTTACACAAGCCATGCAGACAGTCTGCAGGATTTAAGAGCTAGGATCTCTATCCAGGTGACAGAGGAGGGAACTCCTCCCATCAGGAACACCGGCATCAGTCACAGTAACCGAGAGCAATCGTGTGTGCCAGGGGCACAACACCCCCAGAGCCCAGTGAGCATTGACTCAGCACAGTGCAGAGAACAGCCAGCTTACAGCCAGCAATGCAACCTGTTAACCCGTGCTGTTAGCAGGGACACCCTGTGCATCCTCCACAGCCTCAATCCAAAAACATCACAGGATTGGGAAACGCAAACATGTAAAAATGCTGTCTTCAGCTTGTACAGAATTTCTTACGTGTTATAATAATAGTGTCCAAAATAACTTAGCAAAGAGTGTCCTGTTCACCTACTGATGAACTAAGTCCTACTTTGATGAAGCCTTAGAGCTTTAACATTTGATAGGTACAGGATTGTACTTTTGTTGTTTCTGCACACACATGCTCCCATACAGCCACTTACATCCCTCCCTCCACCCCACTTTGGGTTCACTTCCATTCATTTGGAAGGGGAGTAAGACAGGCAACAGCTTTAGGATCACTGCCATAAATAAAGGATGTTATGCTCAACAGTGAATTCACAGACTCTTCTCCAGAAGTTTCTTTATTAAATACAAAAAGGGCTGCAGGCTGACCACAACACCAAAACAAGTCACTGAAGTTGCTTACAAGCAGCTAGAGATGAGAGATCACACAAATGCCTCTGCTTTGTATTCCATTCTCCTCTCCATACTCCTGTGAATGACTGGTATACCAGGTGAGCAGCGGTGGAGGTAGGGGACAGCCCTGTGGTACTGAGCAACAGAGATAGGCATGACTGTTAGGGTCTGCTGGGTTATCAGCCCTGAGCCCTTCCCTTCTCCAACTGTATGAATGCAGGATAACTCTCAGGTGTTCTGGAAAATAAACACACAAACAAACAACTCCCACCCCAAAATCCACAAAACAAAATCCAAAGGAACTGCATCATTCCCCTGCCTTCCTTCCTAAACAGAAAGGTCTCTCAGAGATGAGTCATTTTATTCCCCCCTTGTACACCAATTTAAAGTCCCTGTTCATGTAGGTCTTCTCTGTGTTCCTGGACCTGAAATTTGCAAGTCTTTCCACCACTGTGGATCTATTCCACCTGCCCCATGGCTATTCTGGGTTGTCCACACTGCTGTAGTGGTTACTGAAATGAAAAACAACACAATTGAAAGGGTTAACAATGGCAGCCCACGGAGCCCTTCAGAACCAAGGGTTTTGATGCAAGTAACATTTCTGCTTGGTTGAGAATGCTGGGTGCTACTTCTTGCAAGATACTTCCTCTTCAAACTGGGAATATTATAGACAGCAGAATCCAAGGAACACCAAAGAGCACAGAATATGTGTGTCAGAGAGAGAGGGAAGCAAATAGAGGATTAATGGGATACTAGGACCATGATAAATAGAGCTCGGAAGCAGGAATTAATCTGACTAACAGAAGCTGTTCTCCAGAGTTCTAAAATAAGCATCAGTTGCAGAGGGCACAAGCAATAGAAAGCAAAGCAGCTCATGGATGGCAGGGAGAGAGAAGTGCACGTTAACACCTGCAGCAAATTCTGGCAAGCGCAAAGACAGCAAGTGGTCCACAACTGATGGGGTGACAGCGCAGCAACGGATGGGCTTGAGTGCAAGAGCAGATGAATTGCTTAGAGAGTTTTTATACTTTTCTACTTCAGACTCTGGGAGACAATAAAGACCAAATTGAATCAATTAAGGTATCTCCACAGAAACAACCTAACTGTATTGTATTTTTCAGTAAATATATTCCACTGTTACTGTTCTCTTTTTTAGCACTTTGTCAGGTGTGTTTTTCAAGCACCACATGGCAAAACAAAATTAAATTATCAAGAGCCAATTACGTGCTGCAGGGGAAATGACTACAATTAAAACTGCAGGACTGGCCACCATGCACAATGAGACCTATGTGATAATAGTAATTTTTATAATTGTTTTACCATTGCTTCAGTATTACTTTGAATTTCCTTACACATCAACTTCCATTTAAAACTCTTTTGACTTGTAACACAATCTCCTAGCCCGTCGGTCTGCATGCCAAACAAAACGATTCTGTGCTAAGTGAGGAGAGCAAACCACGTTGTTGTGAGAGCAAGGTGAAATGAGGGCCATGCCAAGCCTGGAAAGTAACCCTGGAAAGAGGAAGCACCAAGCAAGCCAGGGAGAGGAGATCTGCAGCTGTCGCTTGCCCTAGTGAGTCCAAGAAGAGAACATGGAGTAGCCATGCAAGGAAGAAGTAGGCACCATCCTCCCATTAAATTTGTCCAGTCAGATATTCACAGTTGTATTTATGCAAATCCAAAAAGCACTTCCCCAGCCCCAGAGCCTGCCAAATCAGACCCCAGCTGCAGACAACTGTGTAAAAAGCTGCATACCTGCTGTCCCTTTCATTCCTCTCCTCCCAACCACTTCAGTCCCTGTGAAGAAGTCCCAGTAACGTGTCTGCTATGTCTCAGCCTGACTCCTCATTCTGCTGGCTCACCCCGTTCTTGGAGCCGATGCTCTCTCCGATTATCCTCGTCAGGGCACTGCACGGCATTTCTGGGCCCTCCAGACACACAGCAGGCTAGGTAGACAGAGAAGTCCCAACGATTTCGTGGTGTTCATCATAAGACAGACAAGATTTTCCATCCCAAGGTGGAGACATCATCATTGACATGTTTCTGGTATCTTTCAGTCCCTTTATTTTCTTGTGGTCCTACTTGCTGCTCCTGATGGCTCCTGCTGAATGGTTGCTCTGTAGCAACGTACTGCATGTAAAGGAGGTGAACAGGTCCCAGAATTCCTCTCCATGGCATACCTGATGCCATAACCTCAACCTCATGCCCACTGGTAGAGTGTTTGTCAGGCAGCTTCCCCCAAGACCAAGACTGGAGATACAATCACTTGTATTGCAGATAGAAGAGCAATGTTCACTGTGAAAACAGTGCACAGGTGAACTCTGTGATATAGAGTTTTGTATATAATAGAACAAGCTTCTGAAGAACATGACCCTTACACTGCAGAGTGCAGAAAAACGCCCACCTAAACACCATGGAAGCTGTACCTGCACCATTAGAGCTGCTGTAGCCCTTGGTTTCCATACTTGAGAGAAACCCCAACTCTGCCCCAGGGAGACAGTTTAAGTGCATGCCTGATATAAACCTTGTGGCAGCTCAATGGCAGCACTAATACCTGGGCACTCTCAGAAGCAAAAGTATGTGGACACAAGGCGTGTTACTGGCATCACAGGACAAAATACAGGACATTCCAAATTTCTCTAAGGAAAACAGCTCCAAAGTCATTAATGCAGTATCAGGCAAATCACAACTGTACTCTGCCCACTGTGGAACCCAGCACCCAGAAGCAGGAATTGGAGAGCACAGGGCAGTGCAGATGCCACAAGCCACACCCCGAGACCCTCACGCTGGTCCTGACCAAGGACAGGTCAGTCAGCTCTCCCGAGCCGAGCGGCCGGTGCAGCTGCAAGTCCCAGAGAGAGGCAGTTCTTCCCAGTGCACTCACTGAGTGTGCAAGGTGCCACACTCCAGCAGTGTTTCCTCACACAGAGAGCAGCATGCACAGATCCCTGCTGTGTACCCGTTCATGGAGGCAGCACACAGACATGCAAGCCAGCAGCACCAGCAGTGAGGCAGTGTTAGGGCTGCAGCACTCAGCTCTGTCTCATACTCCTGACAGCTACTGCAGCTAGCAATATCCAGGGCCCTCTCAGCAGCCTTGCTCTCATGGGTCTACAGAAATGGAAGAAGAACTTGTTTTCCTTATTCCAGCCCAAATTCCAAGCATGTCTCCAGCCACAAACCCGGATATGAACAAGGGCGTAGCTTCAGGCCCCTCAACGTCCCTCTGCTACCACCAGTCAACCAAAAGCCATACATGTGCAGTTTCCCCTCTGCAGCCAAACCTCCATCCATGCCTCCCAGCTGCACTGACACCTGGCTGTAGCCTGCCCACAAGAGGTGCTAATGTACAGCATCTTCAGCCCTTCCACTGTCAAACAAATGTTCAGGTCTTGGCAAGACTGGAGAAACAGAGATCTGTCCTACCAGCTCAGCTCAAGAATGATCTGGCAGACAGTATTTGTCTGTCCTGTGAATTACCTGACCGCCACCCATTCCCTCACAGGAAAGAGCAAATGGCTTTATTTAATTATCTAGTAGGAAACTGGGGTACAGTGAGCTTAAGTAACATGCCCAAGGCCAGTCAGCTGAGTCTGGTAGGACAAAGATCAAAACCCAAGACTTGCTGGCTTTCAGCCACATGCTCCAACACCTTGCCTAGAACCTCCTTTGCTACCCAAGACAGGCCAGAGCCCTAAGTCGCATTTCCTAGTATTCCAACTTGCACTTATGACAGTGTGAACACAAAGCCCAGCTACAGGCCCTGCACATACACACCTATCTCTACAGCATTAGTTGTTTGTTCAAGCCTATCCCTCTCCTGCCACGCCAGGGCACAGCCAGCTCCCTTGACACACAGAGCTCAGCTTCTCTTCTTACACTCCCTAAGACAAAACATGAGCAACCGCTGTTCCCCGCAACCTGTACCTTCCCGTCATTCCCATCCTCCCCTTCTCACTCCACAATCCAGACAGAGGGTCCCACACTGCTGTGTAACATCATACTCACAGTGAACTTTGTTAGGAGTGGTCTGTTTCCGACGGGACATGTTTCCCTGACCTGGGAGCAGAGTGTTCCTCCCGTCAGCAGAGGGCTCACCTGAGAAGAGAAGAGCCTGTCACACACTTCGCTGGAACCTTCCGAGTCTCTGGCCAAGCTCAGCTGGTTGTCCCATGGTCACTCTCCACCTTCTGCCTACGGGGCTCGTTCTGCATCACCACAGCTGGATTTTGTGCCAGCATCCAACACGATCCACAAGCGCTTTACAAGTCACCGTGCACGGGCAGTCCTGTCCAGTTCTCAGGCAAAGGTTTAAGCAATCCTTCCCCTTCCCAAAAAAAAACTGAGTGCCCCCTTCAAGAGTGACTGCAACCTCAGTCCCAACACCTTTCTCCCTCCTGTCCATTCCTGCAGCCTCATCATCAACTGCTTGTCCTCAAACTGACAGAAGAAGGAGGCAATCCCATCAGTCCCCTCAGACAAAAGGAGGATCCGAACCCTTTCTCACAAGACAGATATTCACACGGATCCCATCAGCCTCCTCAGAAAGATGGACGCAGAGATCCTGTCAGCCTTTCGCTGACACACACACAAGGATCCCGTCAGTCCCTCACCAACTGATGGACACAGGGATCTCATCAGCCTCAGACAGACGGACAAAAGGATCCCGTCAGCCTCTCGCTGACAGACGGACACAGGGATCCCGTAAGCCGCCTCAGATGGATGGACACGGGGATCCCATCAGCCTCCCCAAACAGCGGGACGCAGACGGCAGTCCCAGGACACGGGAGGCGGCAGGAGCAACCGGGCCCGCAAGCGGCCGGACACACAGACAAAGGGACCCGGCTCCCCTGGCACTGGTACGGACCGCCGAGGGTCCCGGCCCGGCAGCCCCGACAGACAGACCAGCCCCGGCAGCGGAGGGGCCGCCGCGGGGCCCGTCCCGCCCCTCGGGGGCGGCAGCGCCGGCCCGGCCCGGCCCGGTCCGGCCCGCCTTACCCGGTCCCGCCGCAGGCGCCGGGAGCCACGGACAGACAAAGGGCAGCGGACAGACGGACGGGCAAGATGGCGGCGCCGCCGGAGCGCGCGGCGCGGGCACGGGCGCGGGCACGGGAGCGACGGCTCGGCACCGGGAAAGCACCGGGAGAGCCCGGCACGGGCACGGCACCGGCACACACCGGGAGCCCCAGCCCAGCGCCGTCCTGGCTGTCACCGACTCGCCCGCAGACCTCAGGTGCCGGTTTTTCATTAGCTGAAGCGTCTCACCTGTTTGCCATTGATCCGCCCCAGCCCGCGGCTCCCGGCCGCCCGAGGGAGCTCATCTGTGCCCGCGGCGGGGCTCCCCTGCCCCGGCCGCCTCCGCCGGCAGCTCACCGGGAGCGCCCGTGCCGCCTCGGCTCACCGGGATCTCGCGTACCCTGCAAGGCCAAAACCCACGGGTTTAGTATTAACTCAGACCCACCGCGCGCGTTGTGAACTCGCGCTCCCACCGAGAGCTGAATCGCCCCTCCCCGGCGGCTCGGGGCCGCCTCCCCTCGCAGGCCGCCGAGCGCCGCCGCCGCGGGCCAGCTCACCGCGGGGCTGCGGCACCGGGCCCGGGACCCGGCTGAACCTCGCCCCGACCCTCCCTTGCAGTGGCGCCAGTGCCGTGTGACCCTCAGAGAACCGAGGACACCTCGGCCCGCTCACCATCCGCAGCCAGGGCACGGCGCGGCAGCCACGGGCGGAACGCCGCACTGCCGGAACCGCCGCGCCGGGGGCGGGCACCAGCGGGCGCCTATCGGGCGCGACACTTCAGCGCTGCGCACAGGATCCCTCCGCCGAGCCATGTAGTCCCTCTGCGCCCCTCTCCCGGGGCCGTGCCCGCTCCTCCCCGTTCCTGCCCGGCCGCCGCCGCGCCGGGACGGTATCTGGGGGCCAGACCGGAAGAGAGCCCGCCGCGGCGGCTCAGCAGTGCCCCGGACGGGGAGCGGGGAGTGCCGGCTGTGGGAATCCCTCCGCTCGCGGTGAGGTGCTGCCACCACCGCGCGCCATTTTGGGTGACTGGGACGTGCGGAGCGGCGGGAGGTGAGCGGGGCCCGGGGTCGAGGAGCAGGAGCGGGGTGGTGGGTCGCCTTCTGCGGCCGAGGAGGTGCTGGCGGTGACGCGGAGGCCCTTCCCCAGTCTCCCGCAGTCCCGGGACCTGCCCCGTCTGCGCTGTGGGACGTTCCCGTTGGCTGAGGAGAGGAAATTTCCCCCGCGGCTCCTCGGGTGCAGCTGCGCCGATGGAGCCCGCCCAGGGCACTGTCCGAACTGTCCCTGGGCGCTGGGCCGGACGCGGCGGGTCTCGCCGGGCGGCTGATGGGGCTGGTGTGGCCGCCCTGGCAGCCGGGCCAGGTCACGGCTCGCCCCGCGGTGGCCAGAGCAGCCGCCGGCAGGGAAGGATGGGGAGGCGAGATACAAACCAACGTCTTTCTATGTGATATTTTTTCAGGAAGGTATTTTTTTTTATGAACGGTTATCGGCAAAGCAAAATGCAGTAATTAAATATCTTCAGAATTAGCTTTCTGTAGGATTAATGAGTTGAAATGGCTCCTGGGGAGACCGGGGGAGTGCCAGAGTGAGTGTTCAGTAAGCAGGAAGAGTGTGGGGAATGTGGAATGGCAGCTTTTCCTTCTCCTGACACGACTGTTACAACCTTAGTTTCTACAGTTCTTGGGTTAGTTATCTAGCTGGTTTATAACTTGCGTATTGGTGGGACAGAGATGGGCTTTTTTCTTCCAGTTGACTTTCCTGTTTCTTTAAAAATATCCAGGAGGCTTCCTGGATAGTTTCCTGGAAGTTTCCAAGGCCAAACCTGTTGGGCTTGGTTGGGTGCAGGGTTGTGAAGTGGAAGAGGTAATGATGAGTGCTGGAGGTCCAGCTATTTATAAATAACTAGATTTGGGAATGGCAGGCCTGAGCTTTTGGGGGAATTTCTTGGCCTCCCCAGTTCCAGTGACCCTCCCTCTTCTCCCCAGAAGGTGTTTATGATGCTGGGCTCTGGGTTCAAGGCCGAGCGCTTGCGAGTCAACCTGCGCCTTGTTATCAATCGCCTCAAACTGCTGGAGAAAAAGAAAAGTGAGTACTGGAGGGGGTAGGAGGGCTTCACCATACTTTTGGGGCTCAGGAGACTTAAAGAGGTTTTTCTGGAGTCAGGATGCTTTTGTGGGCCAAGTATTCAGTAGCTTTCTGCTCTTCCCAGCTAGACTTAGGCCTTACAGCCTGTCCCAGTGTGTGAGGGCCCAGAGGAGCAGGCTGGCTGCAGTTGGCTTCTGTCCACCTTCCTGGCAAGTGCTGGAGTGCAATGTGTGGAGTGGTAGCTGTGGACTGTGTGTGCTCACAGCACAGTGGGAAACTCCCTGTGTGCTGTGGGAGGCTCTCCCCACTTGCCCTGCCCTGACACAGATAAGGTCTGTGGTCCTGATTGACTCTGCAGGGAGGTTGTAGGTGCAGGAGTGTTTCCAGCAGCTAAAGCCCATTCTCCTGTCTCCTGTGAGTTAGTGTACTTGGACCTGGACACAAGGGCTCTGCCAAGCCATGGCCAAGTGTCTCGTACTGCAGAGGCTCAATGGGGGAGAGAAGCTGGTGGTGGCTTTGGGTGTGGTGGGGACTGTGGGGGGTCTGGAGGCAGCAGCCCCAGCCAGCACGGTGACCACGCTTGGGGATGTGTGCTGCAGCTGAGTTGGCCCAGAAGGCAAGGAAGGAGATTGCAGATTACCTGGCAGCTGGAAAAGATGAGCGTGCCAGGATTCGTGTGGAGCACATCATCCGTGAAGATTACCTTGTGGAGGCCATGGAGATCCTGGAGCTGTACTGTGATCTGCTGCTTGCCCGCTTTGGCTTGATCCAGTCCATGAAGTAAGCTCTGGCTGAGAGGGTCCTGGGCTCAGGGAGGGACACTGCTGGGGGCAGGTCTGGGGTACAGAAGGGCACCTGTGTTTGTCTCAGTGTCCTAAGGCCCCCAGAGACCTTTTCTTCCCCAGGCAGGGAAAACTCTGGTGCCCAGTGTGGAGGATGGGAACTTTGAGGCTAAGCAGATTGAGAGCAGCAAAGGCAGGGTGCATGAGAGAACTGTTTTTTGTGTCCTAGGGAGCTGGACTCTGGCCTGGCAGAGGCGGTATCGACCCTGATTTGGGCTGCACCACGTCTCCAGTCGGAAGTGGCCGAGTTGAAGATTGTGAGTAGGGTTCTTTGAGGGTGTTGTGCATGCAGGGTGGGGATGATGCTGCCAGAAGCTGGTGGAAGCCCTTGTTTGGGACTTTGTGTCGTTAAAACAGAGGATGTGTTTTCATGGGCTCTGCAGATGGAGACCAGGTGTCCCTGGAGCATCCAGGGTGGCTGTGGCTGCTGAACAGGGATGCTCAGTGGCAGAAATGAGAGGGAGGGGGGCGGCTGTGGGGCCTACAGCAGGTGTGCAGTGTGTGGTGGGGGAAAGCAAAGGTGTGCGTCTTCCTAGAGTTTCTCTCCTATTGCAGGTTGCTGACCAGCTGTGCGCCAAGTACAGCAAGGAGTACGGGAAGCTGTGCCGGACAAACCAGATTGGGACAGTCAATGACAGGGTAATGAACCAGTGGAACAGCTGGAGCTGGCAGAGCAGCCACGCCTGCCGAGGCTCACTGCCCTTTGGGCCTGTGGCCAGTGGGTGATGCCCACCATCACTGCAGGGGTGGGCAGATGGAGCCCACCTGTGTTGGAGCACGGTGCTGAGAGCCTGGGCAGGGGGGCCCTGCCGTGCTGGTTGTGGATGGGGAGCACATGGAGCCCTGGCCTGTTGCTGCCCACAGTGTGCTGCATTGGGCAGAGAGGCTTCCCCAGGGCTGCCCAGTGCTTCCTGGTGGCCCTGGCTGGGATAGAGCTGGGATGGTGCTGGGCCAGAGCTGTGGGGTGGTCCACTGCCCTGGCCCCACTGAGTCTCTCCATCCCTGTGTTCCAGCTGATGCACAAGCTGAGCGTGGAGGCACCGCCCAAGATCTTGGTGGAGAGATACCTCATCGAGATTGCTAAGAACTACAATGTGCCCTATGAGCCTGACTCTGTGGTGATGGTGAGTGAGCCGTGGGCTGTGGCATTATAGTGAACTTGGTGATCACTGTGCTTTGGTGTCTTCTAGACAGCCTCAGCATAGCATGGTCCTTGTTCCTTCCCGCTGCCCTACAGCATGTGGCCATAGTTACTCATGCTACTGCCTGCTTCCTGTTCTGTTTTCTGTTAATACCACTGTATAGCTGCTCTCTGTTCTGTCCTCCTTGTTTATTCTCATCTTGTCCAGTGACAAAAGCTGCATCTACTGCTGTTCAGAGGGCAGTGATCGGAACAGAGATGTGGTGGTGAGCAGAATTCTTCCACCCTTTCCAGGCTGAAGCCCCAGCAGGTGGAGAAGCAGATCTAATTGATGTGGGGTTCACGGATGATGTGAAGAAGGGTGGCCATGGAGGGGGTGGAGGTGGTGGATTTACAGCCCCGATGATGGGTCATGATGGGTTAGTACCCATGCCTGTGATGATGCCTATGCCCATGCCAACACCAAATCCGCCCTTCTCCTATCCACCTCCAAAGGGACCGGTAAGTTCCATGTGTGTGTTTCCTTTTTCTGTGAAAGACTCTTGAGCGTGGTGCTTAGCCCTGTGCCTGCTGACTAGAAAGTGTCTGTACCTGATAGCTTGATGTGTCAGAAGGCCATTGTTTTGGTGTGAGATTACATGGGATGGGGACTGTTGGCAGTGCAGCTGAAGCTTCGTGTTGCTTCTTGACTGTGGAGGTTCCTACCCCTCTTCTCCAGCCAGCCCTCTTTGCCTTCAGGGAACAGAGGAGTCCAGACTTAACTCCTGAGGCAGTCTTCTGACTGCCAGGCTTTTGTCCAGGAGTTGGAGCTGCACTTTGAAGTTGGTAGGCTGGTAGTGTGCCAAGATTCAGTCAAGGAAATCAGGTGAGTTTTTTGGGGTGGGAACAGCACAGAAAAACGCGGAAGAGCCCTGCCTTCAGACCTGCAAGGGAAGGAGACTGAGCCAATGGCTCTTGCAGATGACTTTCTGTGAGGGTGGAATGTGGGAGCTGAAAAGAGCCCCATTCTCTAAATTCAGTCATTTACAGGATATCTATGTAGACCGGAGAGTGTCAGAATAGTGGGATGGCTTGGAGTCTTAATGTGGTCCCAGTAGTGCTGCAGTGGTTTTTGTGCAAAACCTGGGCCAAGTATCATCAGCTGGCTGTTGGCCCAGGCATAAACATGCTGAGGACTTGTGTCAAGTCTGTATCCTTGAGGCACTGTTGTGTTACAAGTGAGGGTGTAATACAGAGCCTTGTGTGAGGCAGAAATCTCCTTCCTGTTCTGTGATCCTGCACACAGGGCCAGAATGGCAGAGTATTCCCTTTTCGTCCTGGTACTTCTTATGCCTTGGAAGATGAAGTGTTTACCTGTGCTGATTCTTTAGAATAATCCTGTTAGCTGGGTCTGCCTGCACCAGGTGACTACAACTGACTTAATACTTGAGAATCTTTTACTTGTAAACAAATTCAATCCAGTTGGATACTTGTCTGCATTTATCCAAGACTACTTCTTGTGGCTCCTGTAGCAGCTGTAGGTGTGTGGTATCCCAGGTGATTAGTCTGGTGCATGACTGATCTCTCTGTACAGGAGAACTTCAGTGGCCTGCCAGTGGGGACCTACCAGCCTTTCACTAACATCCACCCACCACCAATTCCGGCAAACCCACCCACATATGAATCTGTAAGTGCCTGAGCTGAATGGTTATTGCTGGCAGCAGAGGGACCCTCAAAAAGAGTGCAGTGGTAGCCACAGAGAAGGGAAATGTTCATTAAGGACACTGCTGCCAACCTTTGGAGCTTTTGGGGTGGTGCTGGCATTGCTTACGGGTGAATCACTGAGTACACGTGATGGGAGGATGACTTGTGGGGAGAAGTTCCTTGTTCAGCTCTGTGCTTTGGCTGCAAAGGAAAGCCAACATTTCTCTTGCTGCATCATTCAAGTAGAGATAAACAGTTAACAAGCAGAAGCAGAGTCTACAAATTCTGGTCTTTGCAATGTGAAGGCTTTATCGCCTCGAGTCTGTTTAATTATGGCTTTTGAACTAATTAATAGCCTGGATGACAATTTTGGCTGACCTAGATGCTGTATCTTTCTTTCCCAGACTTTACTCAGTCCTTGGGGAATGATGAAAGAGAGGCTGGAGACTTCCCTTTCTTTGCTTGTTTGTGGTTTTGTTGCTGTAGTTCGTGGTCATGCCTCCCCCACTCTGCCTTTGGTGATGTGCTGCTTGTTTTTGTGTTATCCAGAGTAGGGAGGAGCTGTGCTGAACCTTAGGCTCCCTGCACAGCAGCCTGAGTCCGGGAGGGGCAGGCACAGGCACAGCAGTGCAGGTGAACTGGGTGGGGATGGATGTTGCTGGCTGCAGCCTGCAGGGAATGAGGAGCTTTAACAGGACAGCTGGGTGTGCTGTGGGCCTTTGTCCCAGCTAGACCAAAACCTGAGATGCGTCATTTCATACCCTGCTGCCAGTCACAAGGGCCTGTCAGTGGTTTATGAGGAAGGGCAGAAGAGCTGTGATGACATGGGTGAAGAGGGCAGTCTTTTCACACTCATGCTCTTGAATGTTTCAGACCTGATAGTGGATATGCTCTGTTGATTCAGTTCCAGAATATAGTCAGTGAAGCTGCTTTAATTGAAAGGGAGGGAGAAGAAAGCTGAAGTGCTGCCTCTGTTTCTTGGGAAGAGAGGCAGATTGTTCCAAAGCCAGGGCTGCCTGCTCAGGGCAGGGAGGAATGTGCACTGCTCTGCTGGGACTGTGCCACTGAGCTCTGCCTGCACACTGGAGTGACCGTGCCTGGTGGGACAGAGCTGTAGTAACTGAGAGTCTTTTTCAGATTGATGAGCTGAATGCTGACAAGGACATTGCTGCACCAGTGCCTGGTGAGTATGTCCAGGGGTTTGGGTAACTGTGGGTGTTAGGGGCTGTTCAGAAAAAGCCACCGGTGCTGCCTGTTTCCTGGGGTGAGCTTTACTTTGTGCAGCTCCATTTGGCCTCTGTGAGCATGTGCTGACAGTGAGTTGCAATGATACTTCTCTTTTAAACAGGGCCTGAGCCCAAGCCAGAAGCTTCTCCTAAACCAAGAGCTGGAGCTCCTAATACTTTTGATAACTTTGTGCTGCCTGAATTACCGTCTGTGCCAGACACGCTGCCAACGGCATCTGCTGGCGCCAACTCCTCCGCCTCAGAAGACATTGACTTTGATGATCTTTCTCGGAGATTTGAGGAGCTAAAGAAGAAGACATAAAACTTCCTGGGCTGCAGGAAGGAGAGGCAGGAGCTTCTCTCTGAAAAAGACTCTCCTTGAAATCGGTTTCCTGTATTAACCTCAAATGAACGCGCTCTCCTTTTTGAGCTCTCTTCCTGCTATACTTACACCAAGTGCTGCCACTTTCCTGATCTTTGTTGCTCCAGGAGGTGAACTGTGGGGAATTGTGCAAGATTGGGCCCCTGTCAGTCTGAGTAGCTGTATGGGAAAGCTGTGCCTGATTTTCTGGGCACTGTTCCTGGCTGCCTCTATGAAGGCTCTGTGCTCCCAGAGGAGGCTCCCTCTCGGGGAGCCCTTGCTGGCCTTCATGGTATTCTCAGGCGGGTCTGTTCCCAAGGCGTCATGTTCTGCACTTGAGAGCACGACTGGGTGTGCAGAGGGCAGGGCTAGGGGGGCTCTGCTGCCCTGGCTGCTTTACTGTGCTTGTGGGAATCTGATGGGATATGCGGCAGCACCTTGTTTTTCCCCGGGCCAGGGGTGGGGCCTCCTAGGGCTGTATTTCACCTGTCCGTGATGCTGCCACACCTGTACGGTCCCTGTCCTGTGCCTGTTCGTGAAGCCGCAGACACTTCCCGCGGGGCTCGGGCTGTTCCGGCCCCGCCGTCGGTTCCAATAAAGCGAGGCCCGGGATCCGTCCTGTGCGCGCGCCGCGCGGGCGGGGCCGGGAGCGCCCCCCAGCGGGGCCCCGCCCTGAACTACTGCTGCTGCTGCGTCGCTATTGGCTGGAAGGGTCCGCGCTCCGCCAATCACCGAGGGGGATCCCGGAAGTGCTCGCACGTGGCGGGCTGAGCCCATGGCGGCGCCGCTGCGCGTGAGCGGGGGGAGAGCGGGACCGGCCCGGCGGGGCCATTCACGGGGACGCGGGCACGGCTGGGGCGGCTGGGGCTGGAGCGGGGCGGGACGGGACGGGTGGAGTGGGATCTGGGCCCGGAGTGCTGGGATACGAGAGTATGGCCTGGGATGGGGGGGAAGGGAGTGCCGGTACCAGGATGGGATGGGTGTTGGTGCGGGTGCCGGGTTGGGATCGGTACCAGGATGGGATGGGTGCTGGTGCCGGTAGGGAAGGGGGGAGGGGATCGGTACCGGGATGGATGGGGGGTGGTGCCGGTAGGGAACGGGGAGGGGATCGATACCGGGATGGATGGGGGGTGGTGCCGGTAGAGGGTATCGGTGCCGGTGCGCCGCTGACGGCCGTGGGCAGGGGCGGCTGCGGGCGCTGGCACTGGGAGGCTGCGGGCTGCTGCTGGGCTCGGCGCTGGCGGCAGGAGACGAGCGGCTCTACGCGGCGGCGGTGATGCCCGCGCTCCGTGCGCTGCCCCCCGAGACCGCCCACGGCCTGGCTCTGCGCGCTGCTGCCCTTGGGCTGCTGCCCCCCGCCCGACCCGACGGCCCCGCGCTGGTGCGGCTCTGGGGGGGAGAGATCGGGGGTAAGGTGGGGCGGGGCGGGGATTGGGACGGAGTGGGCGGGGGGCGGGCGGTCGGGTGCAAGTGGAAACCTGTCACAGTCCGTGGGGGAAGACGAGGGTCTCTCGGGGAGGCGCTCCATGAGGCCACCCCGTGGGGCAGAGGAAGGGAGGTCAGGGGAGGCAGCCGGGGCTGTTCGGGAGGGGTCTGGAGCGAGGCCCCGGCTGTGGTTCCTGCGGTCGGTGGGCTCTGACCCAGACCTGGCCCCGCAGGAGGTGCGAGTCCTCGGGCAGCGATTCCGCAACCCCCTGGGCCTGGCCGCTGGCTTTGACAAGCAGGGTGAGGCTGTGGACGGGCTGTACAAGATGGGCTTTGGCTTTGTGGAAGTGGGGACCGTCACACCCGAGCCCCAGGAAGGGAACCCCAAGCCCAGGGTCTTCCGGCTGGCAGAGGACGAGGCGGTCATCAACAGGTGGGATCTGAGGGCGGTGTTCAGCCGTGTCCTGCAGTCTGCCCACCCCGAGGGTGGTTATTTGGGGAAGGTCAGGGGTGATTTTCACCCCATGTCTGACTTGCACTCACAGGGCAGCAGGTCCCTCTGTGCCAGCACCTGCAGGTGCACATGGCAGTGCAGGGTTATTTGGGTGGTCCCAGCTCTGTGGTTGGTGCTGTGGTGGCTTTTGGGTTGGATGTGCTGAGCAGAGCTGCAGAGACTATGTGTCTGCCTTGTTTCTCCCGTGTCCTGTTTGGGGTTTGTGGACACCAGTCCAGCCCTGAACCCTCTGTCCTGGTGCAGGTATGGATTCAACAGCCATGGCCATGCTGCAGTGGAGCATAGGCTGCGGGCCCGCCAGGAGACACAGACCAGGCTCACTGATGGTGAGACAAGCTTGTAAGACTTTGCTCTTGAGGTCTGCAGGGTGGGTTTGGGGGTCTCCTAGCTGTAGGCCAGGAAGGGTGTGTAACACCGGTGTCCAGGCACAGGAGCACCCTGGCCAGAGCAAGGTACACTCAGACAGCAGGACCCTCTTGGGGCTGTAGCCTCTCCCCTTGGGAATGTGATTAGTCAGCTTTCTCCTGCCATTTTCTTTGGGACCGAGCTGCACATACTGCTTTAGGCAGAACATATTAAAGCCAAAGCTAAGAGGACCCCAGCTGGGCAGATCCTGAGGGCAACCTCTGCCAGGCTGTGGTGCTGGGAGGTGCTGAGTGGGGCGGCTGTGGCGATGCTCCTGTGGCTGTGGGACAGTACCAGGCCCATTCCTATGAAATACGTGGGCTGCGTAGCCCCATCTTGATTTTAGCTGGTCTTGGAGCCTCCCTTTTTGGTGCTCTGGCCCTTGGGTGGGGGTTGGTCCTGCTGCCCTAGTTCAGCCATGTCTGTGTTCCAGCGGGGATGCCCCTTGGGATCAACCTGGGCAAGAACAAGAGCTCCATAGATGCTGCAGCTGACTATGTGGCTGGGGTCCGGACACTGGGCCCTTTGGCTGACTACCTGGTTGTGAATGTGTCCAGCCCGAACACCCCAGGGCTGCGGGACCTGCAGGGCAAGACTGAGCTGCAGGACCTGCTGAGAAAGGTGGGTCGCCTCCCCCCAGCCAGCCCAACCTGCAGCTGCAGCACTGGATGCATCCTGTCCCTTGGCAGTGTCTGCTTCACTCCAGCCAGTGGGTTTGCCCTGGCACAGGGATAAGTGGGGTGGCTCCCAAGAGTGGCAGACAGGATTGCTGAGATGTCCCCTGATCTGCTGCTGCCGTGGGGTGCACCAGGGCATTGTACCCCAGCAAAGGGCTCGGGAGCAGTGAGGTATCACCATCTACTCTGTTCCTGCCAGAGGCAGCAAGTCGCCCACCCCACGGCTTTGGGTGTCCTCGGGGTCCTGTTCTGGCCGTGTGCCCTAGGCCCTGTACTGAGGGTGCCTCTCTGTCAGGAATGCCATGTAGAGGAGCAGGGCCTGTCCTTGTGCTGGTTGGTGCCCGTGGCTCCTGGTCAGGGCATGAGGCTTCTCCCTGCCATGCACTGCCATGTGCACCCGCAGGTGCTGGCGGAGAGGGACCTGCTGCCCTGCGAGCACAAGCCAGCCGTGTTGGTGAAGATCGCCCCTGACCTCACTGCACAGGACAAGCGTGACATTGCCAGCGTTATCTGCGAGGTGAGATGGGAAAGGGAGGCTGGTGTGCCTCCTGCCTCACCTCACACAGCACGGGGGAAGGACCATGGCGCTCCTGACAGGTCTCCTCTCTGAAGGATAGGTGCACCTGCAGCTCCCTGGCTGCCATAGGGGTGGTATCCTGGGTAGCTTGGAGTCTGTGAGGACCTATGTGTGTCAACCAGACCTTGGGTGACCCAGACAGTCCAGGCAGTGAGGGGCAGCTGCTTTGTGCCCAGGCATGTTTCTGGGTTATGTGCTGGGGGAGCCCTGACCTGGCATCCCAAGGATGGGATGGGATGGGGGGGAGCTGCTTGTTGCTGCTGTGTCCTCATGCTGCTGCCCCCCTCAGCTAGGTGTAGATGGGCTGATTGTCAGCAACACCACCGTGAGCCGCCCCAGCAGCCTCCGGAGCAGGCAGCGCATGGAGCCCGGGGGCCTCAGCGGGAAGCCCCTGCGGGAACTCTCCACACAGACCATCAGGGAGATGTACTGCCTCACCCAAGGTGGGGGCAGAGCAGGGCTTGGGGGGTGCATGCCAGCATCGCCTGTGCCTTCCTGACCCTGTGCCTGCCCACAGGCCGGGTGCCCATCATCGGGGTGGGTGGGGTGAGCAGCGGGCGGGATGCCCTGGAGAAGATCCGCGCCGGAGCCTCCCTTGTGCAGCTGTACACAGCCCTCGTGTACCACGGGCCGCCAGTGGTGGGAGCAGTGAAGCGGGAACTGGAGGAGCTGCTGAGGTGAGGGGGGTCCCGGCACCTCCTCAGGGAGCCCCTGGGCCCAGAGTGTCTCTGAATAACTCTCTGCTGGTGCCCAAGCAGTGCACCACCAGGCTGAGCTGCAGTGCCAGGCTGGCCCTGCCATCTCTCACTGTCCCTGTTTAGGGAGCAAGGCTTCAAGAACGTCATGGAGGCGGTTGGAGCAGATCACCGGTGCTGACATGCTGCAGAACCAAGGTCTAGCTAGGAGGAGCCATGGCTGAGTAGGAATGAGTCTGATAATTCCAGTGCTGGGCAGGCTGGGACCAAGCCAAGGTCCTGGTCCCAGGCCCTGAGAAGAGCCTCTGATGGGTGAAGCAGGGGCTACATTAGTGGGGAGCAGGGGAGGGGACCTCCACACCAGTGCCACTGCCCAGGGCTGTGTTTTGGCTTCCCTGTGCGCAGCCGAACCCAGCCCAAGTGTCAATAAACATTTGGCTCACCTGGTCCTGTGTGCTGCTCTGCAGATACTCCATGGGCTGGAGGGACACAGCCCAGCTCTCCTGAGCCAAGCAGGATTGGCTCTCTATGTTGCTCCCACTTTTCTGGTGGGAGAAGCTGCAGGGTAGCTGAGCTCTGGGGTGAACTGACAGAAGTGCACCAGGGCTCCCCTCATAGAGATCTCTGCCCAAGGCCAGGCACTTGGGGTTGCTGGGTGCCAGTTCTTCCCTTTGCTGCCAGTACACAGCTGTTTGGAGATGGCTGCGGTTATGCCCTGTTATTGTTGTGGAAAGGGTCTGATTGGTAGTGCTTCTGCCTGTTGGTTTTGTTTCTGGAGCCTCCGGTGCTGACTGTTCCTTCACCCTGAACTTCCTGCAGTTACTTTGGACTTTGCTTGAACAAGAGCTTGCCTTGGACACAGCATTTCCTTTGGCAGCCTTTCGCA